TTATCTCCAGTTAAAAATGATACAGCTGTGGCTCAAGTGGTAGAGTGCTAACCTTGAGCAAAGAACTCAGGGACAGCTCCCAGGCCCAAAAGAAGCTTTTCAAAGAGACCTAAATTGAGGGCTTATAATCTGTATACTTAGAGATTTGATTGCCATGTTAAAAAGCAAATGTTACAATCCATACTTTGGATGTTAAAATTATCTAGAACTAAGTCTTACAAAGTCTTGTTTGTTTTTATTTTTATTGTTGTTCTTGAAGCTGCTGGGAGAGAGACAGTAGGGGAAGGAATTTGTGCTAGTGACTTCCTTGTTTTAGGTACATCAAATGGGTCTAAAATGTTTTCTACTTCCCGTCCTCCACCCTTTTATTTTAGGTTTTCAAAACAAAAATAGAGTTGCAATCTTGGCAGAACTGGACAAAGAGAAGAGAAAATTACTTATGCAGAACCAGTCTTCAACAAATCATCCTGGAGCTAGGTATTGAGTAATATTTTTGGGTGCTATGCTGCTTAATACTCTTTTGAGGTATCCTACTTCTGTTTGGATAAAATCAATCTTATAACATTTTTTCCAACCAGTATCCCATTTGTGTGAAGAGTCTGTATTGGTACTCTGCTATGACCTGCATCATGTTTCATCAGAATTGCTCTTGTCTTCGAGTTTGTCTTGCATATTTTCATATTCCTAGAGCTTAGCCCAGAGCCACATATACCTAGCTGATCTAGAATCAGGTGAATAAGTGACTCTAAGTTTGTTCTTACCAGTTCAAGATTTGTGGAACATGATTATAATTGTCTCAGTTAATTTATTTTTTAAACCATACAATATGATTGTATTTTTTGAGTATGTGATTCAACAGTTTTCAGAATGATGCTATTACGCATCAGAGTAGATGGTGGTAGCCCATAACTGTTTGAAAGTGGAGAACTATTTATTATGAAATTTTAAATATATCCAGACATAGTAGCACACACCTGTAGTCCCAGAGTTAGGAGATAAGAGTATGAGTTTGAGGTCAGCCTAGGCTAGGTCTCAAAAACAGCAAACAAACAAACAAAAAATCACTTGAAATTCCAGTAAGTAACAAAGGCTTTCTTCATCTAAAGCACTGTAGATAATGGGAGAGGGGAAAAAGACTTGATTTAACCATTTCCTAATGTATACAAAAACCAACATATATACAACATGTATAATTGTGTGTATATGTGTGTGTTTGTGTGTGTGATGGTTGTGGGGCTTGAACTTGGGGCCTGTGTGCTGCCCTTGAGCTCTTGCTCAGGGCTAATGCTCTACCACTTTGAGCCACAGCTTCACTTCCAATTTTCTTGTGGTTAATTGGAATCTCATAGACTTTCCTGCCTGGGCTGGCTTTGAACATGATCCTCAGATTTCAGACTCCATAGTAGCTAGGATTATGGACATGAGCCACTGGCACCTGGCAAGCTTTTTTTTTTTTTTTTAATTATTTTACTACTATAAAAGTGCCAATTTAATAAATCTCCCTTTATAATTAAAAAATACAAAAGTTGTCGGTCTTAATCAGCAAAGTAACCTGCACATTCTGTTTTAGCATTGCACTCTCCAGGCCTGCTCTCAATAAGGACTACCGGGATCATGCTGAGCAGCAGCACATTGCCGCCCAGCAGAAGGCAGCTTTGCAGGTGAGCAAAGTGTAACTGACATCCTTGGCTCATTGGAGATTTCCAGGTCTTAGAAGCTAGCACAGTAGTTATTTTGTATTTCAGTGCAGCAATATCAATAAAAATGTTCCACACATAATTGCAGTGGTTTGCTGATGTTCAGTCATGCCCAAAGGATTTGAAGGACCAATACAGCAGTAATGAAAGGATCTTTTATGAAGTCGATGTTGTCATGATTGATTCTGTGCTGTACCTTGCCAGGGGACTGCTTGTGCACAAAACAAGAGTTTAGAATATCTGAATAGACAGAACCTAGAGAAATGAGCAGGCTAGTTTATTATTAGACATACATATATATATATTTTTTCAATTTTGAAGTGTTGTTACCTCATTTGGTATTGTTACTGGTTGATTATTTGGATTTTTTTTTAATGGTCAGCATGGTTTGTATGGGAAAATGTTTAAAAGCTAACCATGCTTATCATAGCCCATCAGTTTGAAACATTATTCTTCAAAGAATAGTTTTAATATTCATCTTGGATAATCTAAGTTTTCCAGAGACTTTGGACCAAACATCAAGGTTTTTTTTTTTTTTGGTAGATATAATGTAATTACTAATGCTTTTTGTTGTTGTTGTTGTTGGTTGGTTGGGGAGCTTGTGTGCTGTCCCTGAGCCTCTTTGTGCTTAAGGCTAGAGCTCTACCACTTGAGCCAGAGCACCATTTCCAGTTTTTGAGTGGTTAATTGGAGATAAAGAGTCTCACTGGGACTTTTCTCCCAGGACTGGCTTTGAATCACAATCCTCAGATCTCAGCCTCCTTAGTAGCTAGGACTATGGGCGTGAGCCATTGGCACCTGGCTTGCCTCTGCTTTTAAATCTTAGAATCCCAGAATTGGGAGGGACACTATAATCTTTGATGACTTTAAAACAGTCCTCCTTTTCTTAGTGACAGAAGTTAATTACTGGTTGTTTCCTATTATTTACATTCCAACATCCTCTATAAAAAGTTGGTATTTTTTAATCACTGACTCCCCTACCTCGTGGGGCATACTTTGTGCTCTAAAGTGCTAGTTTTCCTCTAGGCAACAGAGCAGTTGTATCTTCAGCTCTCCTCTTGTCTGGGAGACTCACAGGGGAGATGGTGAGGGTGATGAAAGAGTACCTGGTCTGGTTTGTTAATCTGAATTCTGCTCCTGCCTATCTCCTGTGTGTTTAAATGGAGATAGGTTACAGCATAAATTTGATCTCACTCAGAAAGGGTGATTCTAATGATATGGCTAAAAAATCACGGCTCTTTGCGGGGGAGAGGGGAGGCTGGGAAGGGATGTGAAGGGTAAACCAAAGGAGGAGGCTGCAATGCTTGGTAAGAAATGTACGCATTATCCTGCCCATGTAATTGTAACCCCTCTGTACAGTATGTTCACAAATAAAATAAAAAAAAAAGAAATGTAAAAAAAAAAATCACGGCTCTTAATAGCTTTCTTGTGTTTTTGTTTTTTAACTTTGCTCAGCATGCTCATGCACATTCATCTGGATACTTCATAACTCAAGACTCAGCATTTGGAAATCTTATTCTTCCTGTTTTGCCTCGCCTTGACCCAGAGTGAAGAAAATATCTGTGATGAGAATGACTGTAATGTCCAGTGCCGGAGCTACCCTCATTCAGTGCTGTGCCAACAGACTTTCAGAATTTTGGTGGACTTACGTATTGTTTGTTTCTTTAAAAGAAAGGAATGTATAAGTGAAAGGAAAAAGCAGGGTGCCAGGTGATGAGAACTTTGGCTGCTGTGCTGTCTGAGGACTGATTATGCTGCCCATGTCTGTAACTTCCTTGTTGTGTCCTTTGATTTTTAACTCTAAATCCTACTCTCAACTGGATAGTCACTTAATAGTGGACTGAATACTATGTCCGCCATATTATCAAGAATCACTTGTGGAACTTAACTAAAGAAACAAAAATTTTTAAATGTAAATCAATAGGCCTGAGTAAATTTTATAGTCATGTTTGTAATTTATAGGATTGTTGTCAGTGCATCTTTTGAGTTTAGAGTCAACATCGTCATCCAGAAATATTTTTTGTGAATAGTGACTAGTTCTGCTATTACCAGTTTAAAAAGAAAACCCAAAGTAAGACTAAATTACCACCTAGTCTTAAACATCTTGTATAAATGGATATGGTAAATGATGTGACTAAATAATGTTATTAAAAACAATTATAAGTATTGTGGTGGCTTTAAATCTGTACAAGTTCTTAGTGTAACTGTATAAATGGTGTGCCAGTGTGGTTTTATTACCCTTTTTGTTTTGTTTGTTGAGACTAGGTCTTTTTATATAGTAGGTCCAAGCTGGCCTTGAACTTATCAAGATCATCCTACTTTAGGTGTGTAGGACTGGGATTAAGGCATACACTATCATGCCTAGTACTTTATTGTTGATTTTTTTATTTTTTTGCAGGGGGAGGAGGATTGAACTTAGGGCCTGGGTGCTCTCCTTGAGACTTTTTATGATCAAGGCTAGCAATCTACCACTTTGAGCCACAGGTCTACTTCTGGTTTTCTGCTGGTTAACTGGAGATAAGAGTCTCATGGACTGTCCTGCCAGGGCTGACTTTGAACTGTAATTCTTAAATCTCAGCCTCCCAAGTAGCTAGGATTATAGGTATGAGCTACCAGTGCCCAGCTTATTCCTGATTTTTTTTAATCTAATAAAAAACTTCAAATTATGCAAGCTACTTTTTAATTTCTTTACATTTTAAGAAGGCATTAGTTAGTAGGTTGCTCAACATGATCTATCTCTCAAAGAATCGGGCATATACTTAAATATGCAGTCTCTACTGTCCTACACTAGTCCTTTTTTTTTTGGGGGGGGGTCCGGTCGTGGGGCCTGAACTCTGGGCCTGAGCACTGTCCCTCAGCTCTTCAGCTCAAGGCTAGCCTCTACCACTTGAGCCACAGTGCCACTTCCGGCTTTTTTCTTTTTGCTTATGTGGTGCTGAGGAACCCAGGGCCTCATGCATGCAAGGCAAGCGCTCTACCACTGAGCCACCATCCCAGCCCCTACACTAGTCCTATAGATCAGATCTGATTAAAAATAAAATCTGAAATCATCATGTGTTCGAAAATTCTATAACACGCACAAAATTTTGATGATTAAAATTATATTTTATACTATATCTCAGATACAGTTTTTATGGTATTTTTGTTGCTTTGCTTTTGAGTTTTTGTCTATGGGAATTGAGCCCAGGGACTTATGCATGCTAGCACTACTGCTTCCCACCACTGTGTAACTAACTCATAGCTGACCCAATCTTAGCCCTGGAGTCCCTACTTTTTGGTGGTAGAACAAAATTTAAGTTTAGAACTATAGTTTGGGTCAACAGTTAGTTGAAGATTTATTAAATTTTTATAGATTTTCTTCTAGAGATTTTCCCTAGCCTGCCCAATTAAGCAGCTCCACTTCCAGGCTTTGGTGTTGCACAGACCCAAGTCTAAAGCAAAAAGCTGGAAGTCGAGCTGTAGTTCAAGTGTGTTAGCCTTGAGCCAAAAAGCTACGGGACAGCACCCAGGCCCTGAGTTGAAGCCTCAGAACTGGGATGGAAAAAAATAGTGAAAAGCTGGGCTGCAGGTATGTCTCAAGTGGTAGAGTACAAGCATGAGGTCCTGAGTTCAAATCCCAATAATGTCAAAAAAAACAAAAACAAAAAAACCCCCAACCAAACAGATGGACTTGCTATCACAAAAACTGAGAGAATTGTGACACTTGGGTATGTGACCCAAATGTGTGATCACATGCTGTCTGGGAGGTGACACTGAGAAATAATGAAAGAGCAAGAGAACCACATACCATGAATATATGTGATCTACACATGTATTGAGAACCCAGGACAAAAAAAGGAAACATCTAGATTAGTTTTTCCCTGGCTAGGTCAAAGTGTATCCTTTCAATTCTGGGTCATTATCCATGGGACAAGCAGTGATGAAGCACAGACCATATTAGCTATTAACTGTCAAAAGTGTATTTGTTATTAGTGAGTGTTAGATTCTTTAATGGAGTCCTAAAAGATTCACTGGGTTCTTTAAATCTGGTCAAATTCTTAGCTATTATTACTATAGTTAAGGGTATTAGAATATGCTAAATTACTTCCTTGATTGCATTTTGAACATTTCAACAGCTGAGTACACTGTAAACACTCCAGCAGGAATTTTTATTTCTAATCCTTATTTCTTTGGGATCCCATGAGAAATACAAGAATCTAGCATGTAGTTTATTGCTGAAATTCATCTTGTTTACTGTCTTTCAAGTCTCCCTCATGTCTTACCGGCAAAAATGGTAGTGCAGATAATCTAAGCAGTGGAAGGAAAAACCAGGGAAACCTAAGGAAGAGAGAGAAAAAGAAATATACTGGGGACACATACCTCCGAAATAAGCCAAAGTATTGGCTACTAGAGGCTCCCCAGACAGGGGGCATCCTATCATGATGCTAGATGAGAATGGGCAGGCTGCAGGTGCCAGGAGTCTCAGATGCCTTTGCGCAGGTCCCAGCATCCCTGCTGCTGCAGTAGAACCTCCTAAAGACTGAGGAAAGGCCATACGTTGTCTATGTAAGACCCACTTCTTCGCTGTTTACCAGACTTCTCAGTACTGTGGCATGACTGGATCACAAGTCTGCACATCCTAAGCGCAGCTATTAAGGCTACTGGAACCAACCCCAAGACATCGGGAAATCTGCATTAAAGAGGACAGATAGAAGGTACAAATGACTCTTCTGATAATTTGCTGTCATTGCTCAAGCTCAGCATAGTCACCTAAGGATCTACCTTAAGTGTCACCATTCATTGTTCACAGCATGGTCCCTGAAGGTCCCTGTTTGTGGCCTGAAGATGCCACAGCTCTAAGAAACTCCTAAGAAGGCTATACAATCTTTAGTACAGGAGCTTGTGGTCTTCAATTGTTCCTTTCAGAAAATTTCAACATGTACCAAAAAGCACAGAAGGAAATGGTGAACCTCACATATGGGCCAGTTTGGGTATCTATGTCACCAACTGTTCAACTCCTTAAAAATATATCTAGCGGCTGGAATGCTGGTGGCTAATGTCTGCAATCCTAGCTACTCAGGAGGCTGAGATCTGAGGATCCTGGTTTGAAGCCAGCCTCAGCAGAAAAGTCCATAAGATTCATATCCAATTAACTACCAGAAAACCAGAAGTGGTGCTGTGGCTCAAAGTAGCATAGCACTAGCCTTGAGTGAGAATTTTGAGCTGAAGAGCTGAGGGACAGAGCCTAGGCCCTGAGTTCAAGCCTCACAACTGAAAAAAAAATATATGCATACATATACCTACACACATATATATATACACACACAAATACATACACCTATATATGCGTGTATAGATATATAAATATATATATAGTGCAAGACTCTTTCAAAACTAGATTTTTATGTGTAAAATGTTGCAAGAACATTGGCATTTTCCTGGGAAATGTCCAGACCTTTCATCAAATATCAAATTTCATTTTTTTTTGTCAGTCATAGGGCTTGAACTCTGGGCCTGGGCGCTGGCCCTCAGCTCTTCAGCTCAAGGCCAGTGCTCTACCACTTGAGCCACAGTGCCGCTTCTGGTTTTCTGAGTGGTTTATTGGAGAGAAGAATCTCATGAACTTTCTTGCCAGGGCTGGCTTTGAACCATGATCCTCAGAGCTCAGCCTCCTTAGTAGCTAAGATTATAGACATGAGCCACCAGCACCGGCCAAATTTCAACTTTTTAACCAACTCCCCCTTTTTTTTTTTTTTTGGTTTAGCCAATCAGATAATATTCTCATTTTCTCCTTTTTCCCAAAAGAAAGAATAACCATCCGTGACAAATGGCAGTTGCAGCAAAGCATCAGCAAGAGCAGGCTTCATCCTTAAGACAACGTCTTTTTTTTTTTTTTGTAAGTATGTTTAACAATCACTGCTAAAAAGCCAGATGCTGGTAGCTAAGACCTGTAATCCTAGGTACTCAGGAGGCTCAGATCTCAGTTCTAACTCAGCCTGGGCAGAGAAAACCCTGAGACTATTCTCTCCAATTAACCAGCAAAAAGCAGGAAACGGAGGTGTGTTTCAAGTGGCAGAGCACCAGCCTTGGGCAAAAAAAGCCAAGTGAGAATGCAAAGCACTATGTTCATGTCCCAGTACTGGTGTGCATGCGTGTGCATGTGCGCACACACATACACACACAAACACAAATACTGCTATAGTAGAACAATGAGAAAACAGTCAATTTCCCTTAAGTTCAATATTTATTATTTTGAGATAGAATCTAACAAAGTAGCCCCAACTGCTTTTGACCTCTTGATTTTCCTGCCTCAGCTGATGAGTGCTAGGATTACAGGTGTTATCAGTATACCCAACAGGATCAATGGTTCTTAACAAAACTGTACCTTTTCACCATTGCTATGTTAGACACTATTGGAAATATTTTTAAGAAACTTGCTTCTTATAAATTATTTTAGCTGTTGTATATCTCTAAAAGTAGTAAAAATAAAAGAGGAGAAAATCACTAAGGAAAGCATGCACACAATGGTCAGTTACAATCACCCTGAGAACTTTTCAGATGGGGACTCAGTCTCCAGAGACGCAGATCTGCGAGCAAACTGGAGGAAGTCAGTCGGAGCAACAATTTCACATTAGCTCAGAAGCACCTGCTTTTTAATCCTCCCATTACAAAATACGAAGAAAACATTACTTCCAGATATGTGGTGCTAACTTAAGCACATTCAGAAGACATAGAAACTGCAGATTAAGTTCAAATAACCATGCTATTTTAAGAAAACAGACTGAATATACATTATTATTTTTATTTTGTTCAAAAAAATTGGGTCTAAACAGTCAAGCTACATGTACATAAAACAAACCAAGCAACAACTTTTTAAACACAGACCCTTGCAAATTATTAACATTCTACTAACTCTCTACAAAGGGCTGGACTAGACAAACAAAAACAGTCTTCCAACACTGACACTGTGACAGGAAACATGAAAACTGCTTTCCCTCTCACTTGCTCCCCTACGCACTACCATGTGTGCCAGGCAAGGCCTTCACCTGGGGATGGGAGAAAAAGGGGAAAATAGTACAATAAAACCATCCAAACCCCTCTCCATCTTTTTGCCAAGAAGCTTTACTGTGTGTCAGAATGAAAACCTAAGCAAACAAAAACAATCCATGAGCTCTTCTATTGCTAACTTTAAAGCAAACATGCTGGTGCTGTTGAAGATTTAATTGAGAAGTCTAAAATGACAGCACCGATTAAACTT